GCTTGCTGCATGCAAGGAGGCTCCTCCTGGCCTTCCGGGGTGGGTGGGCACCGATGCCCCCAGCCTTCAGGAGGCCTGAAGATGCCTGCCCCATTTTGCTCAGAATCCGAGGCCACAAAGTTCCTCCTTTGCATCTCCTCCCGTCTTCTTTGAACCTGAGTGCTTTTTGCTGAGCTCTGTTTCTCCCTCTTCAGCTCCAACTCACCCACCCCTGCCAGGCAATGACCCCCTGCACATGGAGGCCTCTCTCTTGCCCCCAGAGTATGGTAGAGCTCTGTGGACTTGAACGAGGGATTTTTCCGGCTCTAATTGCATGTGATGAGTGCCCAGTCCCCAAGCACTGTTAGCTCCATAAGGCAGGATGACTGACTCACCACTGTGACCTCAGAGCCTAGCACAACTCCTGGCACATAACAGGTGATCAACAAAATGAACGCATGAGCAGCAGACGGCTCAAAATGAGCCTTAATTATGTGGCATGACTTCAGGGTACAGAAGGCCTTCCAGAGCACCTGCTGTGCTAGAAAGCTGAGCCCGGGTCTGAACCTGAAAGTACTCACCATTCTCCTGGGAAAAGGCCTGGAGCGGAGAGGAGGCGAGTCAGAGCAGCGCTCTCTGTGCCAGTCTCTCTGCTACAGTCCTTACATCCTTTAATCATCACAAAACAGCCAAGGAAGGTGCCACTATGATCCCCAGGGCCGAGAGGTGAAGTGACTTGCCTGCAGTCACTTGTTAAGTGCTAGAACCAGAAAGGGATCCACATGAGGAGTCTGTCTCCAGAGCTTGGCTCCTACTTGACCACATGTCACATGCACTGTGCAGTCTTCAGGTGACCCTTGGTTCTGGCTGCAGTCATACCAAGAAGGAGCCGAACTCCTTACGGTGCGCAATGGATATGCCTGTCATTGCTGTATTACTGTTGCCTCTTTTCAGAAATAAGTGTTTGTTCTTGGCCGGGCATGGTGGCTTATGCCTGTAATCCCAGCATTTTGGGAGGCTGAAGAGTGTGGATCACCTGAGGTCAGGGGTTCGAGACTAGCCTGGCCAACATGGTGAAACCCCATCTCTACTAGTGATACAAAAATTAGCCAGGTGTGGTGGCACATGCCTGTAATCCCAGCTATTTGGGAGTCTGAGGCAGGAGAATTGCTTGAACCTGGGAGGCAGAGGCTGCAATGAGCCGAGATCGTGCCACTTTCCTCTAGCCTCGGTGACAGAGTGAGGCTCCGTCTCAAAAAAATAAAATAATAAAAACCGTTCTTGCCAGCTTAACTGCATGTGCCATTGACCCTTGCCCATCTTTGCATGGCTTAGAGTGTCAATCCCGTATGGGCAGGGCCATGGCCTGCACTATCGGTGCCCATAGCGACAGGCACCGAGGCCAGCACACAGTAGGCCCTAAGCTAAGATTTGCTGACAGAGCCTCAGACTTCCTAGAAGTTAGAGGGACTAGAAATGCTTCTCCCCCACCTGTTGACATCCCCACCTGCTGCCTGGGAACCAGCAGGATCCTTCCATGACTGCAAGGATCAGAGGCCTAGGTTGGTTGGCACCCAGCAGCCACTTTCAGGGTGTGTTGGAGAGGGCCTTCTCCATTCCAGATGGAGTGCTCCTGTGAAAAAGCATCTCTTCCCCTGCTCACGCCCTCAGCCCTCTCTCCCCACTGTAGGTTTCAAACTATCAAAAAGGAAAGTGTGCCCTGTGGGCCAGATTAATGAGAGTGCAACTGTTTCCCGTCCTCAACAGGATAAGGGCTTGCGCCTGAACATCAGTCAGTTACATCCCCAAGCACGCTGCTCGGTGCTGCAGGCAGTTTTCTTGGTAGCAAGGCTTTCTTGGTGAAGAATACAGTGCCTTAACGAATGTTAAAGTTATTCTGACCCTTGTTCAAGCAGCAAGGAAGACTTTATTCTGGATTATTCTGATAGGTGTCAAGACTATCACAACAGGGGAGTGAGATCAACTCAGAATATAGTGAACACAGCTGGGGACTTCCGGATCTTGCTGAAGTCAGGGAGATCAGATAACAAGAGTGGAGAGAGACTCTCAATAAACTGACTTAGTAGAATTCTTGCTACAACTGAACCAGGGAGGCTAAAGACAGGGCCCCAGGGTGAGACCTAGTCAGAAAGAGGGCTCAGAGGGGCCAGCCTAACGTGTGCTCAGAGAGAGTCTTTGCCAAGCTCCCTATCCCATCATGTGCCTAGAATGAGCAGCCACTTGGCTACCAGCCACTTTGAGGAGTGCTATGGTTCCAATGTCCAAAGTCACGTTGAAATTTAATTGCCATTTGAATGGTATTAAGAGGTGGGACCAAGGCTGGGCGCGGTGGCTCAAGCCTGTAATCCCAGCACTTTGGGAGGCCGAGGCGGGTAGATCACGAGGTCAAGAGATCGAGACCATCCTGGTCAACATGGCAAAACCCCGTCTCTACTAAAATACAAAAAATTAGCTGGGCATGGTGGTGCGTGCCTGTAATCCCAGCTACTCAGGA